TGCCGATTACGTCTAACTATATGCTGTACATTTGTGGTGATACCGAAAAACAGCATCAGACAGTTTAGTAACGCACAGCGCAGAAAATAATATAGTCAAGCCAGTGATTGACCAATACCGACATTTCGGCTTCTTGAAGATAACAGGCTGGTAAGGTATCGGAAGTTCTCTTGTTACCTACAATAGTCAAGATTATCTCCTGGATACAAATCTACCTGCCATTGCGGTCAACGCGAATAGCCGTCATCAGACGCTTGAACATATTATTTTATCGCACAGTAATGAACTGCAAACTGTCATAGGATGCATATTTCATGCTTTCACTCGACACATCGTCATGGAGTAGGGAAAAATAACATTTCCCGCCGCCTGTTTGACAGTTACTGGAATGTTAAACAATCGTTAATAATTTACGCTACCGATCAGTGTCTTGTCCGACAGCCGTTCTATTTAAATGACCGCATGATTTGCTTTCGCGGACATGTAAGTACCCACACCCGCAAATTGTAACCTATTCTGGTCTAATGACCAAAATGATCACTAATCCTGCAGTTGAAGCGCTCCTTTTTCAAAGATGGGAGCTACCGTTACCGCCATTACATCGAATTCGTATCTACCGCATCTGCATGCAGTACGGCAGGAGCCATCCAAAGTACATTAGCAAGATAAAGAACGAACGTTCCATAATACAATGCAAGACATCTTTCTTGTACTGTAGATCGACAGTAGCAGAAATTTCTTGGTTCGTAATTGTCCGGTAAGTTGCATGCGGAAACCTCTCACTCTGCTGCTCATTTCTGTGAAAGCAATACATTTTGTCGTCCCTCTCTGAGAAGCGAACCCGATAAGCGCCATTTAAAATTTAATTCAAACCTTTATGATTCCTTGGAAGCATTTCCTAGAAAATCCTATGGATTCTGTTATTTTCTAAAGTTATGCGAATAATAAGGCAAAATAAAGTAATTAATAAGTTTCTTTCATGAATGAGATAGATGGATCTGCACATGATAATCAAGTTTGGTAAGCATGCTAGGAATTACCGACCGTAACAGCAGTGCTAAAATTTTCGGTGTCACGTGAAGTTACGGAATTGCCGCCTATATGATGATTTGATGTTAAATTTGAGTCACACTGTTGTTTGCTACAAAACGAAATTGATGAATGTTTCACAGTATCAATACTGCCATGACATGTAGCAAGACTAGTCGCGACTGAAACTTAACTTGTCTCTTTCAGGGTGCCAAGCATCTAACGTCCTTAGGCGGAGCACCTATCGGTGTGTTCTTCATGTATCATCTGACCACGTTTGGCCTTCAGTCGTTGGATTTTGCGAAACGAACACTCAAACGCGCGCTTCCACATCAGGTGCCGGACTCCGCTTCTTGTCCGTCGTTACCACCGTCTCCCTCATCGTCTTCGGATAAGGGCGATGAGTTTCGTTGTGTTACGACGAGCAGTGAAGGGATCGTGGCTAACTGCGTCGCCACAGAAAACCAATGTGACAATGGCCCCGGCGACAGTTTGAGTTACAACGACGAAATCGACCATGCAGGTTTGTTTTCAGTGGATTATCTCTCAGTGCCTTTGTTTTGATGTGTTTTGATGGCGGCGTTCATTGAGTTGTGAGGTTCATTTAAGGATACTGATAAGGCCTCTGCGTGACCTTTAAATCGTAGTCGAATGCTGATACTGATGTTTCGGAAATGAAAACGATTCCACATTGGTGTCGCTCCACAGGCGGTTTGATGTTGCGTTTTTAAGGCCGCTAATTAGATATTGACTGATCATGTCTATTAATGCAGGTTCGGTTTACTTTAGCCAAACGAGTTTTCGTGTTATTCGATCATACCTTATTACTATCAATCATTTGGATCAACAGAATGAGTTAAACATTTGTCTCGCTTTCCGACATGTGCGCAGTCTCTGTGAATCTTCTAACTACTTAGAATAATGTTTTTGTTTGCGTTCCGGTGTTGTCTAATCAGAATAGGCGCATTTGTTGTTTTGCTGTTAAAACTTATGCAAGGAACAACCACATTCAAAGGTGTGGTGTAAAAGCCAGCTTGGCAATCATGATGTTCTTCAGATGATGAGTGAATGAAAGTTTATAGCTTGAATGTGCTCTCCAAAGAATTCCATTTATATACAAGAGAATAAAATATCTCACAGCTGAAAACGATCCACGATTTAGTCAGTCATATTCGACGTTCGCTTATCCTTACGGGTTGCGGGGGCAGATGCGTCTCCAACGTTCTCTATCCTGGACCAGCTTTTCAGCTTCGGTACAAGATAACCTGAGTTTGGAGTGGAGTCCTTCCATGCACTTGCCACAATATATTTATGGCCATCCCCTAAGTCTTCGGCCCGTCGATTGGACACGTAGTAACTGCTTCGACGTCCTTTCCGAATGCATTCGCAAGACGCTCCTAAGCCATCGTCAGGGTGTTTCAGTTTTGAGAAGTAGCGGTTACATACAACGGCTGTTTTGGATATGTGTACTTCGGGCCATGTTAAACTCGTGAGCCAAGATATTCGTCTCGGAAAACCGATTACAGCCGTTTGGAAATGATTGAATTTTTCAGTCATAATCCGCGACTAATGACCATAAATAAGCATGTTGATGAAGTTCCATTTGAACACCGAGAGCTTACTCTGTAGACTCAGTTCTGCTTTACTCACAGCGTTTCGGGCTGGTTCACTCATGACGCCTCTGGCCATTCCATTTTGCCGGTCTCATCTCATTCTAGTCCAGCCGATGCCATCTCATTCCAGTGCTGTCTCTCTCTTCCATTTTCCACCACCATAAGCATGATCTCGAGGTGTGTGGCTGCTATCTCCCCATTTGCCACAGTGCGTAAAGCAGTTTCTGAGTGCCCACTTTTTGTTGTCTGCCTCAGTTTCTTATCAGTCTGCGTGGCCCTTGGTGACCAGGGCGATAATCGAACTGGTATGGCGATCGATAACGGCAATACTATGAAGGCCAGATGGTTGAGTTGTACGGGAGACTTCGCTGGGTCCACAACCCTCCTCATTTCTAATCTGGGAATCAGATCGGCAACGATGGAGTTTAATATGCGATACGCACGTTACAAAACAAAATTGCACGAGAATTCTTCGTGTCGACAAAACAAATCAATTAATAAACAAGTTGACGTTGAAATCAGTTCAGAGCAATAAAGGTTAATAGGTAAATAGGAATAGAACTGTACCTCATTAAGCATATTCGACGTGTGTTTGAAATCATTGGGTTTTCTGCTAGACCCCGATGCAGATATCCTTTCGTTGAAGCTATGAGACAAGCTACCTGGTTCAAGTCTTTAACCTGAACTTCATCTCTCAGGTCTCAGAAGCGCGGAACGTTTTCTTTTAGACCATTTCACTGTGCAGTAACTTCTGTTTTCTCTTTTTTTGAACGGTTATATGGGTGGGGGGGGGGCTTTAGCGGAGTTGAAAGTCGTTCTGCTCTGCACGTCAGCGGTGACGATTCAGATACACGTTGCATGTGTGAACTGTGTTTATTTGGGTCCGGCTAAGAAATGGTTAGCGAGTCTTTGATCACTGCGAGTAGTGGCAGAGCATGGTATTCTGGTTCCGTCATGTTAGAGCTTACTACTATCCTGTCTGCTGCACGAGCTTAAACCCTCTTGACAGCTGACTTAATCGGCTGAGGTGTTTCCGGTATATGAAAAGATTTGTTGTATCTTCTGGTGGTTTGTTTTGAATATTTTGGTGATACTTTTACTACCATTGCGTAGGTTGATGTCTTGCGGTAATAGTAATTGATGTGACTCTATCATTACGTGTTTCATTATGTATTGGTATCTAATCATGGCGTGTTTCAAGTTATATTGGTAGAGCGATAAAGTGATTTGAAAAGTTCTTAACAGCGCGTAGGCGTAGTATGATTATTGATCTGAACGACAAAAGCTTGGCTAGCCTTTCGATCTGTATTTTAAAGGGTTTCTCATAGTATCAGTCCTGATAAGTGAGTTCCTGCTATTCAGTTGTTGATTCATCTCGTACTTAGTCTCGTACTTAGCTTACAAGA